ATTGGTGTTTGCATAGGACATCAAAGTCGAGATTGCAATTGATGGTCGCTAATGGAGGTGTATCAATGATTAATCATGGAATTGTTGGTGGTAATTCTATTAGAATCGATGACACATATTAATTTTCGAGAGGTACCATTGATGATTTTATCGATAATCATTCTTTCAATTTAATTTTTTTCTTTTTTAATTATTCTTGAAAATGCCCCCTATAAAGATTTTGTTTAAGGCCCCGAGGTTGTTAAAGCGCCTCTGTTTACTAGTGATCGTTGTTTGTATTTAATGTCTGAGATTAGTGACATAGGGATAGAGCTAGAAGAAAAGATTTGTAGAGGCAAATTACACAAAATTTTAATTGTGAGGAGAAAAATTGAAAATTACAAGGACTTTTTTGAAAATCTTGAAAAAATTTTGGGCAAAATATTGCATTATCAAATTTACGGTGGGGGCAGGTGACCCACTACCCCACTGTAAATCCACCCGGTTATGCTAGGGGCACCACATGTGCCCACTGTTTGTTCAGGGCTCATGTGGCTCTAGCCGTTTGGCAAAACCCGAATCCTAATTTCCTCCTTCATGTTGATTATGTTAGTTTTTATTGACAGAAGGGAGTGGAGTGACAATTGAGTAAGACAACGTAAGTTTAATGATAGTTTTGCAACAAAAAACGATTAATAACCAAAATGGGGCATTCAAAAAATAAAGAGAGATCTGCAGATTCTTATGAAACTCAAGAATAAGCTAATCCTCATATTGGAATATAATCCCACCATTTCGCCATACAAAGTGTATTTCATGATGCTATAAAGCCTGTTAAATATAATGAAATTATTACCAGATGTTAACTTATTAGTACCGTCAATTTTATACTAGATATCGAATCCCTTGACCAAGAATCTTTCCCATACTACAAATATTTTGGTAACGAGCTCTCGCCAAGTCTTCCCAAATTTACGATCATTGGGAGGATTTTATTGAAGATCTCGTACAAGAATTATAACAATATTTCACCTGTAGCTAACTAGATAGAACGCTCGTTAGAAAAGGAGGAAATGTTTATTCCCTCTCTGAGTTTTGTGCTTTCTTTGTCTTCGAATTAGATGTTTTATACATGCCACCTCATTAAACTTTTTTTACGTCGCATTAACAATCAGGGATTGTGTCAAACTCAAATTTAGAGCGTTTTTAATTGTAATAAAAAAGAAAAAAAAACAAAAACAAAGGTTTCTCTCTCCTTTCTTTTTTTTGACAACCTATCTTTTTCTATATTATCTAGTAGATATATTTCAAAAGTTAAAATGAATAGTTGGGTAGAATTAAAGAAGTGATCACGTGGAGTGTTTAAAAGAAATTTTTAAATAGGCAAAATAAGTCATAATCGGTTGAAAAAAAAAAAATTTGAATCCACATTTTTCTAGAAAGAGAGAAACCTTTAGGGGAAACCTAGTTCTCCTCATGCTTATATATTCACAAGTTACACATGGATTCTATAGGTAGTGGTGGAACTAGAATTTTGACGTAGAAAAGAAGTATCGGAGGGGTAAAATTATATATTAATTAACTATTATGTATATATTAATTTTTTTTATATAAGTTCGGTATAAATTGAGAAAAAATGTTTTGGGGACGATTGCGTGGCTCTTCCTCTCACTTAGGCTAAAAAATAACGATCTCAAGCCAATTCAAAAACCAAATGAAAGAACAATTAAATAACATTCTTCCCCACTCATAAATTATAATGTCAAGTCGACTATAAAGGCAAATGCGGCTGAGGGAACAAATATATGCAAGATTCATGAATGTTTAAAGGTCCACACTAACACCATAAAGTAAATGTCCTTTCGTTAAATACAAAATATTCAAGGACTCAATTATATAAAGATTCTTAAATTTTTGAAATCTATCATATAGATCTAAATGATATAGAAATGATCTTGTATCCATGGTTAATAGAATAAAACATACTCACTGATGACGTGGCAACATCAGATAGCAATCAAGTCTACAATTTTCGGCAATTCAATGGTGAATTGTCAAAAATTATAGGTAAGATAACTCCAATCATTTCTACTAAATGATATTATAATTACAATTTTCTAGTGTTGGCTAGTGGTTGTACCCAACCCGTGCATTAGGCCTCACAATTTTCTGGATGGCCTGAGCTGGCCGGGTTATATAGAATAATTGGTGTTGTACATGAAAATTTTTCACAGGGGTTTTATAGATCCCTCACTGTAGCGCGGACCCCATCCCAATGAATTAATAAAAAAATGTGCCCCCCCTCCTTTGTGTCTAATCTGATAGGGGCCTATGAAGTAGGCCCCTGTAATGCATGCATGTTGTGTCAGTTAGATGCGACTTACTTTAAATCTCTAGATACTGCTATGTTTTAAATGTCGATTTAACTTGAATTTTTGAGGGTTTCGTCTTCCTTTTCGTATTTGGTCCATTGGTTAGGGATAGATTGTCTATATAAAATTTGAACTAGAATTAATTTCCAATAGCTAGGAATTTATTAACAAATAATTTCTTAATTTTTTCCTGGTTTAGGAAGTAATAACAAAATGTCAAAAATATTTTTCACGAGTGATATGTTAACCATCCAAAATAGTGTCAAAGATTATACCTAATCTTATCTATAGATCGAGCTAATATTTATTTTCATTTTTTATTTTTTGACACAGAACTTCTAATTTTTTATTACAGATATATGACATAAGTTGAAATTCAATGCGTAACAAAGAGAAATAGAATGTAAACGACATGTGGTCAAGGTGAAACACGATAAGCTATTTTTCTCCTATCTCTTGTTCACCGTTCATGATAAAAGGTCTCATTTTAGTGCTATTTCTATCATATTTCACACGGGGAAAAAGGTACATTCTCTTTGACAGCTCAATATGTCCTAAATTTCATTGTGCACTTAAAGAGACTTTGAGAAGGTCATTTTAAGCCCATGTTCGATATGCACATTTTAATATCGTTTTCTTTTCTTCTTTTCTCCCTTTTTTTTTTGTCTACATACATATATGTCCTCCATAAGTTATTTTTCAAGTAATATAATTCGTATTAAAGCATATTTCGGACAATTATGGACATTTCATGTGGCATGCACGTGAATTTTAATGTCAAAACCATAATGAAATAATACGATATTCTTATGATTAACTTGTTTTAAGTTCAACGGACTTACTCTTTTGTAAGACATTGGTAAACCTAATTTTCTCTTGATAAAAGCATTGGTAGACCATATTACTAAAGTTTCTAGCGTGATGTCAAAGGCAAACAATGAATGCGAAACCTTGGCTTTGTAATTTGAAATATAAATTTATGGGACTTTTTTTAAACTAAAAGCATCGTGCTCATGAATTCATATCCCGTGAACCACGGATGCAACGGAAATCAGAGTTCAATGGCTCCAAATAGATTCACCGGAATTCTAAACAACTAGGGAAGCGTTAACGAGCCAATTTATTCCCCTTGTGAGATATAAAGCTACACTCCCTATAATTCATGTCACAACACAAGCTTACAATATCAGACAGGACCAACACATGTGAGGCTAAGTGACAATCAACTTGGAGATACGTGGACTGCATCACACTTAACCCAACTCTATATTGAAACCACGAGAAGCAAACTGCAGCCCATCCTGTAGCGAAATTTTGACTCGGCATCTTCAGGAGAAAAACACCCTGGCCTTCACTTTGCACATGTCGCCACCACTATCCCTCATGATTTCTGATCATTCTGCCCTCGACCCCTGTTACCGTTCACCTCATAGAACCCTCATCATTTTGCAAATTTTTAGTAACTCCTCTATTGAGACCTGATATAGAAAATGTTGTGGATTGTATCTTCAAGCCCCTCAAAGCACGATTTTAGCACGCCCGCAAACCCAATTTCTTCTACACAAGCTTATTTTGTCCACATAGGAATAAAGTGTTGGAATTCAGTTTAGAGAATAAAAAATTTAGTTAAGTATACAACTTAAAAAGTGAGGTTGCGACAATTTCGATCAAATATTCGGACTTGATCTGATAGTCAAATTATAAATAGAAATAGACTAACTTGTTCTACTCGTCGAATAGATCGTCGTGATATATTTGGAATTTCAAAACCAGTTTCGAATGAATGAGAAATTGTGGTTCAAAATTGGATAGAAAAAAGAAAAAAACTAGCAGAGATAAATGCCTAACTCCATAGCTCGCATATCGCCCAAGCGGCACGCAAGCGAGAGAGGCTATGTTGAATAGGTGTTAATTTCGCTCAAGCAAAATGCCGACGACAACAATGGATGCTCCCTTCTGAAGGTTGCTTAGTTTGGGGGTGACACTTCACTTACAACCCCTCCTATTCTGTAAATAGGACCTTTTGGACTTCCATTATGTATTCTATATCATTTTGTATTGAGTATTACATCAAAAACTATTGCAAAATACTCTCCAAAAATCATTCCAAAAATATTTTCTTGTAGAGGAAAAATTTTCGGTTCAAAATTCGTTGTCACTTGTAGTTTGAAGTGTTTTTACCACAAGTTGTATCCGTTGTATCTTGGAAAATAAGTGTCGTGAACCGTTAACACCGTTGCAGAGCAATTTTTTCTTAAGGAGAAAGTGTTTTCATTTGTCTCGAATTTCGTTCTTCACTTTTTTTCTTTTTCTTACTTTCTTTCTTTTCATTTCTAAAGTTTAATTATGCTCCTGTGAATTAAATTTAAATATTTATTTATCTAAACAACCATTTCAGTATATTATCTACCAACACAAAGCAAGTGAGAATGTTTCCACACCCCAAACCAAGAGGACCATACAGTCAACCTTCAACATTTGCCTAAGGAGAATTGTCTGTCTATGTTGCAAACCATGGAGAAATCGAAGCTTTCAGAGAAGGGCCAACAACTGAAGTTTTCTCATTTAACAGCATCACTTGCCCACCCATACCAGTGTATACCTATCCTCTTGAATCACCATATGAATCCGTCCTCGCGATTTGTATTATCAACAGAAGGAACTAATAACCTCCCGATCAATGGGCAGAAGGCAGCTCCTCAACTTCTCTTCATGGACCTCATACCACGTGGCCATGAATCTGTTACTCGTTGAATTTGTGTTATAAGCATCTATTGCATTTACTTTTTGATGCATTGATCAGATTATTTCGCTAGCACTAGTAATAAAAATCATAATGCAATATTATAGTAACCAACAGATAGCTAGTTATCAAATTCAAAAGATACCAGGGATCAAATTCAAAACAAGTGCTAAGGAAATTAAAGATGCGTGCACACAACAAATTGTGAAGAAGATTAACTAAATTACTACTTTCTACTACAAATTTTAGAGCTACATTAGGTAAAACACACCACAACACAGAAGTTGAAGCCAAACGACACTTGAATATAAGAACGAGTATCAAGTACTTTGCAACTGCAAAATCGTAAGAGTTTGAGAGATGATTAAAGTTTTGGTTCGGTGGCAGTTAATAGAAAGCATAGATCAAAGTTTATCACATTGTACTCCATTTCTATTTCCTGATGGTTAATCAGGGATCTCAAAGTTTATCACATTGTACTTCATTTCTATTTCCTGAAGCTGGTTAATCAGGGATCTCAAAGTTTATCACATTGTACTCCAGTTAATAGAGAGCATTGATTTTTCTAGCAATAGTACCTCTTCAATCGATATTTGCAAGATTTAAGATTTTAACTCTTTGATGTCTCCTGCCGCAAGTAATACCAATTCAATTACATAAAGAGGTCCATAGTGACCAGTTTTTAGCTAAGATTAAATTTGAGATTTGAAGGCTAGAAGAGTTTACTCATCGTTAAGCATTGCGAGCAACATGAAGATCACATTATTTCTCATGACTGATTTGAAATGGATAAAGAAGGTTGGAAGGGTGCTTGAGATAAGATGTTTGAGAAGTGTATGAGGCAATTTATGGTTAAGAGTTGGATGTGGTATTATCATAAGAGAGCGATGTGTTAGGAAAATAAAAAAGAAAATTAAGAATGTTGCGGGAATTCTAAAATAATGGAAAGAAATGTTATAATAAACAGAGTACGAATAAAAAGAGAGGGATTTTGATTGTTGATGTAGTAACGATATTGGAAGGAATCGAGGTCTGTGTTGCACATAGTTTCTTTAAAATAGATTCCCCCACTATGGTGTAAAAGGACTAATTACATCTATTTCCTAGGATGCAATGCTTGAAAGTAGCTATCTATCACATTTTCATTACTTTAGGTGAACTAACATTATGATAACCCAAGAATAACTAACTAAGAGGGTTGTGAATTGATTTTTGAAACTTTTTCGAAACCTAGTCTCTAAACTATTTATGATACGAGTTACAAATAAGCAAAATGTAATAAGATGAGAAGAGTGTACAAATTCTATAGTTTTTTTTCAAGTATATGCAATTAAGGAAATATATCACGATGTAAATGGCTATGTAAGTAAAGTGCAATAAGTAAAGATGATAAGCTAATTTGATGGGGTTCGATATACAAAGTGTTCTATGTCCCCGTTACCAAGCTCTCCGTCACGAGTAATGCCAAATTCACTAAAAGTTGTAACTTACAAACAAGGAGTACCGATCCTTAAGTGACTTACAAACAACGAGCACTTATCCTTAGGTGACTTACAATAAGGTGCACCTAACCTTAACAACAATCGAGTTTTCACAAGATTCTTGAAACTAAAGAGATATGAAAATAATTTTACAATTGAAGCAACTCTCTTAACAAATGATATAATCAAGTCAAGTATTTAGAGAGTTGGGACAACACATCAATAGATAGCAAATGTTTAAGCTCATGTGTTTTATGTTGCAGAACTTGAATGATGAACTAGTTAAGATCAATATGCCAAAGTTTTCAACCAATGAATCTCTCTTAACAAATAATACAAAATTAAGTATAAAGAGAGATTTATACTTCAGTGAGTGTTGGCAAAGAAAAACTTTTGTCAATTATAAGAGAATAGATGAGATGAAGTTTGTTTGCAAAAATGAAATCTTTTATGAAATAGATGAAGAACAAGCTTTCAATCAAACAAAAGATTCTTGTAATAAATGAATTGGATAAAACTTAAATAAAACTCAATGATCTTCAAAAATAGGCTTTCTAAAATTCTCTTGAATAGTTGGTGTATTGAATGCAAAAGAGTGGTATTTATAGAGCAAAACAGAGAGCTGCAAAAACTTTCGGCTGATGGATTTTGGTTGACCGAAGTCCAATTATAGTCGTTGTAAAGTTTTCAAGCCATTGGAGTTTTGGCCGATCAATTCAAACTTTCAGTCGAGCAACTTTCGATCGACCGAAATGAGTAGATTTTGGATTTAAAGATTTTAATATCACAAAGTCCATTTTCTAAAATCAATTTCATTTCGAAAAATATTTTTATGCAAGAGATAAAATGTATAAAATTAATTTGAGTTTTATACTTGCTAAAAATTGACAAGTCGTACCTTTACACGTAGTTTTGAAGATTCAATAAAATATTTTCTAAATTTCTAATCTTCAAAGGTCTTAGTTTCTTCAGATCACTTTTGATTGTCTTTTGAGTGCTTGCAACGGATGACGATTTGAGCCTTTGAGTTGAGACATTTCATACATAATAACAAAACTCAAGAAACGAGATTTGTTAGAAATACAAGAGTATTGTTTGTTATAATCAAAACAAGTGGAGTTAGATCGAATCATATGTCAACAATTTTCCCCCTTCTTGAGTATGACAAACAATATGTGATTGTAGGAATATATAGAGATATACAATATGTTCCCCTACCTGTTACACATTGATGTGGGAAAGTGAAGTTTGAGATGATGCCGTTGTGTTCATGTTTCCATAATTTGAGATAGATTACATGGAGCTCACAATTCATATAACAATTCCTTGTTCATAAGTTATATCATAATATATCATATTGCATTTCATTTCACAATGTATCACATTTCAATTCACAAACTTCATTCACAATTCATTGTTCAGAAGTTATATTACAATATATCATAGTGCATTGTATTTCCTCATTTATCATCATAAAAAAGAATGGGGACTTTGGAAGAAGGAATTTCCCCCTTAGTCGAGCCATAGGTGCAATAGAAGAGAGAAAACAAGTTATATAATCATAGGTCACAAGTAGAGATAATAACCATAAAACCACACATAGCTTTAATTTTCACAACGGAATAATGTTTGAACAACTTCAATTGTCATAATATAAATAGGTCTAAATAGAAGCAAAGTAAAAACGAAAGTTAAGAAAGTGTTGGAAAAGGCTAGATGCAGAGCTTCATCCATCCGTCGGTGGAGGAGGATCACGAGGGTAGATGGAATACATGTGAGCGTAGAAAGCTTCATGTGACAGTTGCATTTGCTCCAAACGTTGTTCTTGTGCCAAGTTCATTAGCTCCATTCGTTTTTTAAGAGAATCAATTCGAGTGTTAACATTAGTATCAAGAGACTCAATTTGACCCTGGAGGATGTTGAATTGATCTATTGACATGTGTTGCCCAGAAGTAGGTGCAACCCGTGGAGTAAAATTTCTATGCCTTGGTAGAGGTGGATTACCATCGTCACCATCACCCCCATCACCATCACCACCATTATTTCCATCTCCTTCATCATTTCCATATTACCAACATCACTCATTTCCTCTACCTCTTCTTCGGTTAATGGCCAAGTAGTGGGCCCCAAAGCATCGTTAAAACCTTGAATGTGACACACCCATTGCCCATGACTTTTAACAATTTTCATACCTTTAGGGTGTTGAGGTTAATGATGTCGATGTGTTTAGGATGAATAATAGGCTCGTCTTCTAAAGGCACGTCGAAGTACTGGAAAATTTTAGTGAAAATCATGCCATAAGGTAAACCAAAAATTCTAGGAGATGAATTAACATGACGAATGTGTTTTAAGAAAATGTATGAGAAATCCAATTTTGGCCCTACAAGAAGTGAGTTGGGGATAAATAGGTCGACATGATAGACTTCCTCAAATTGACCAATATGAGGTAATATAATGTATGAAATTGCACGATGAAGGACCTTTCATTGAATAGTGAGGTGATTCAAAGTTAAGGTCATTGAAGTGGTTGATTGTCCGTCGGTGGCACAGCAACATGCCTCAAGTTCATTATAGCCATCAAAAGTAATCGGAAAATGTTACATATAGGCACGATTATCACAAGCATCTAGCTCAAATATCTGTCTAAGTGTAGGTCTATCTAGGGCAATGCCTTTATGTTTGAGCATGCAAACGGCATAGTGTGAATGAAGGGTGGTGTGACGAAATAATTCTCGAATTAAATTAGGATAGGCACATTCGGAGATGGATATAATATTTTTCCACCCAATATTTTCAAAAAATTCTTCAATTCTAAGTGATGGAGCTTTAAGAGAAAACTAAAAAATGTCAATAGTCTTACCATGAAGAATGGGATGATTGGTGAATCGATCGGGCAAGGGTGTGCCCTCTTTGGCAATAGACGGGCAAGGCTTCCCCTTTCTTTGACATTTTCCTTGGCAGCATGGTTTTGGGTTCTCGACCAAGAGACGAGTGTAGAATCGGCAGAGAAGGTGTGAGTAATAGGTTTTGGGTGTGGGGTAAATGATTTCAAGGGATTTGAAGTGAAAATTTTCAAAAATTTTGAGTTCGACCCAAAATCAAGTTTTTCAAGGTTTTTGAAAAATTGGATGAAAAAACTTGAGAATTGATGTTAGTGTGTGATGGATGTTTTGAGAATGTGTAGAAATTTGAGTAAAAATGAAGGGATTTGAGTTTTTTGGAGAGGAAGAGGGAAAAAATTGAGAGTTAAGGGTTAGGATTTGATTTTGGGAAGAAGAAAATCAGATTTAAAGAATCTGAATCGCGCAACTTTGGTGGACTGAAACTCTGCAGAGAAATTTCATAAGGGAGCCTCTGGAGTTTTCAGTGGACTAATAGTCGACCGAAAGTGTCATTTCGGTCTACCCTTCGTTCGACCAAAGGGTGTCTTTTGGTTGATCAGTTGTACGACCGAAAAGTCATATTTTGGTTGACCGAAATATTTCGTTCAACCGAACATTTTTTTAAATAATCATG